CCCGCCCCACTTTGCAACCCTTCCGGAACTGTTCACATTTTTGTGTAAGTTCTGCAAAGCGAGATCGCACAAAATCAGGGAAACCTCTCTGTCTTTGGGCCAAAATATCATCAGCTGTTGCTGGATTGAATTCTTGCCTTCATTTTTACTTGGCGAAAGGCAAAGCATTTTCCCACGCCCTCAATGCATGCATCGATGTCAGGCCTTTATAAATCCTGCTGACTTTAAGGTACAGACGTGTAGCGATTCCGGTATGGAGAAGGAGTCAGAACTCGTGGTAAGGAGCAGTCGCAGCATATCTTCGAATTAAAATATGAACTTGTCAGTGTGATTCATCCGAGCAGGATTTACCGGGAATCTCGCGTGCAGCCAGCACTGAGCCAGGCGCCTCTTCTTCACACAGACGCCGCTCACAAAAGGACCGGTTCTGCCGTGAAGTGGGCATCCTGTGCCTCCGTGCCCGCCTACCATCTCTCGAATATTTTTTTCTCTATACTTGGGGGGAACTTCCAGGTCGTGAGTGTCGACCGTTCCATTCTAGAAGTCAGAACGCAGTTTCCTGGCATCCTTTCGCTAGGATGCGGGCCTGTGGGAATAGGTCCAGCCAATCAGATTCACCAGTGGGAGACTTTGATCCAAGAGAACAAGGAGGGGAGGTGCTGAGCGGTCCGGGGGGATCCAACCCTGGGAGGAGGGCAGCCTGAGGGGAAGCTGGAGTTATGGAAGCAGCAGGAAGAGAGGTCCTAGTGAGAGCCGGTGGCCCAGAGGTGCTGAGATCATAGGAACGAGCAGGCCCGCGAGGTCATTTCAATGTCGTCCCTCGATGTTCACCTCTTCCGCAGATTCTTCGGGCCTCACACAGGCTCTGTGCACATTCCAGCCCCCTTTTCCAAACTCGGCTGCTGCTGAATCTAGCTCCAGGGAGTTAAGTTCTTTGACACAAAGAGCCCTCGAGAGACTTTTAGAGAAAAGTTATTTCTCTGTCATAAATTCAGCCAAGAAGGGATGGAAAGGCAGAATGCTGCTGCACAGAGCTGTGGAGGTGAATTCTATCTAAGAAAAATGGCATCCTGACTATGTTGCCACAGCATGTGCTGGTTCCAACCACGGACGCTGAGCTGATTTCAGTCCTTTTTATTTCATAAATCACATGCTCGAGGTGTAGGTTGCATCTGTGGCAAATTGACGTGGACTTTCATGAAGACACATAGGCTGAGGGTGTAACAAAGCCAATGACACCCCCCACACCAGCAAAACGACTACCACCGGGTAATAATCAGCTAGTAGGGATAACACCTGTGAATGGAAAAAAAAAAGAGAGAGAG